TGAGAAAGCCTCACACTGCTTGGCCCATGACAGATCCTCAGTCTCCTCTGGGTTTTGTCCTCCATCCAGTGCCAGCTTTGGGAAAGGGCAGAGGGGAAGACCAGGGTCTTTTAGGGGGCAAAGGCAAGGGTCCTCGATCAGTGTGGATCCTGTGTCGGGGTCACTGTGGTGAGAATACTGAAAGGAACCAGTCAGAATCTGCCCCTTGGTGATTCTGAGCCTCAGGAGACTTCAAGTCTGGGTGGGAGGGGTGGAGGAGGGCAGGAAGTCCTTGAGAATTTGGTGGGGATTATGTGCTGTTCATAGTTTTTGGGAAAATTATTAGAGCAGCTCATCTTGGTGGCCTTGGTGATTCCAGAGGAATCTGACTCCCCCGTTTTTCTTCATCCCTATTCCCTTGGCCTTGGGGTCATCTCCCAGTCCTTGTGTCATTCTGTTTCTTCCTCCACATCCACTCCCCTACTCTCCCTCCTTACCTCTCTCTGTTTCCCTAAGTTGCTCTCTCCTTTCCAGCCCTAGACAGAGAGCTGGAGGAGGGAAGAGAGGGGCGGTAAAGGCAGTGGATAGGAGCAAGAGAGGAACTGCAAGGATGAGGAGGGGATAGAGGAGGGCCTGGGGAGGAAGGGGCTGCAGAGGAGAAAACACCTGGTGAACAGAGCTGGCATTTTTGAGCACTAGCTGTGAACTTTACATGCAATGACTACACTGCAAATTAACTTCCTAAGTAGATAAAGGCGAGGAGCCTTGAAGAGAAGAACAGGACTTTGAGCCATGTGGTGTCTCTGGGTCCAGGTGGATCCTTAAGGCTGTGGGATTGGTGGGTCCAGGAGCTGTTAGACACTGATAATCAGTCATTGGCCTGTGATGAGGCTTCACAGACCAACCGAAGGGCCAAGTTCTTTTGAGAGTGGACTTATATTAACGCCCTATGAGGACCAACTTTTCATGAACAAGACTCTCATTGGGCGGGAAGGGGAGGGTGTCCACAGCCCTGAACTGGGAGCACCTAGCACCTAACGTGTAGTCAACCTCAACACTGAGCCCATAGCGGGGGCCAGAAGGAGTGAGCAGTGGTGTTGACCATCCTCGGAGACGGGGTTCCTAACCTCTGTCATTGGTTGATGGCTCCCCCGAGAGGGGGCTCTGTGGTTTTGTGATGCATTTGGGACTCCTTGTTAATGATGGCTTATGTCAACAGAGGGAACAGAAAAACTCCCTGTTATCCAGCAGCTCTTTTTCTAAACACAGCTCTCCTCTGTGGGACTAGGGGAGAGTCTCTGGGGGGACAATCCCGGTGGTCTTCGGCAGTGAGATGCTTAGGAACCACACTTAGATGCTTCAAATTCTGTAAATTTCAATGTTGAGGAAACAGACCATACCGGAAGCTCCTTTAGGCGATCACTTCCTTAAAATAAAACGGTGGGGATGGGGAAGTGGGGGTGGGGCTGAACTCTGGGCGCTTAGCCCACAAGACCTTTTGTCTCGCCCACTTTCCTGGCTGCCAGGGAGCAGGTCCTCTGAGCTGAAAGCCCCATCCTCACCTCTTCTCACCGCTTCCTCTAGGTTAGTGGTTCTTGGGTTTTGGAGGCATCAGAATCCCCCCCAACCCCTCCGGCCCCCGCCCGAGGCTCATTCAGACTGACTTCCCACACCCCATTTTCCAGAGTTTCTGAATTCACAGTTCAGTGAGTTCCTGGGCAATACTGTTGCTGCTGGTCCAAGGACCATACTTTGACAACTGCTGCTATAGACATAACCAGTTTTCAGTGGGCAGGGAACCAGATGTCTGGCTCCAGATCACTTCACCTCTCTGAGCCTCAGTTTCTCTATCTGTAAAATGGGGTTGTGAGCCGTGCTGACCCGACACAGAGGTCAGACTGAGCAAATGGGCAGATTGTAAGTTCTTAGAATGGCGCCTAGCATGTGAGAAGTGCTCAATGAACAGCCTGTTGTCTTCAGGGCCCTCGCTGGTCTTCTCTGTGCCCACCCCAGTGCTTAGCCCTGGGCTTAGCACAGAATAGTTCCTCAAGAAATACTCATGGGACCAGCAACTACATGACTGTGTGCACCTAGGAGCGCCCCTACTTTGAGACCCCTGGGAGTGAGCATGGTTTGGAGGGTACAGGAAGGCAGCAGAGAGGCTGGCAGGAAAGACCTCTGAGGGTCGTTTCACCACATGGCTGGGAGAGGAGAACAGTAACCATCCCCATCAGCCAAGCCTTATATGTCTCTTTTTTCCCCCGTTTAATTCTCACAGCCTCCTTATGAGGTAGGTATTTGACCCGTTTTGCTAATGAGGGAACTGAGGCTTAGAGACATCTGGGAATTTGGTCTCGCCACAGAGCTGGTACAAAGTGGTGATGAGTATCTAACGGATTCCAGGACTTGGACTCCACCTAGACGCTGTAGACGGGGGTGTCAGGGTGAACTGTAAAGGGAGCAGCAGGTGTAGGTAGCTGTGCTGAGGGCTCTCACAGAGGGAGCTCAGGGTGTCTGTCCCCTGGTGTGAGTTCTGGGCCCGGCTCCTTTCACTGGCCCGTTGGGGACCAAGTGGCACCACGAGGGTGACAGTAACCTCAAGTACTAACTTTCTTCTGGCCAGTTTTGCCACCATAGTGTGTGTGCCCCCACATGTACATTCACACACATGCAAGAACATGCACACACATGCACCCGCAGTACCAGTCACCCCCACATACTCATATACATGCATATGATGGGGTTTAGCTCTGCCTTTCAGGTGATACACTCTGTGGACATCTGCGTTCCATCTGCCTCGTTTGTTCAGAGGAGGGAAATTAACCTCAACCAGCGACTCAACTAGAACTTCCTCCTGCACTGACCAGTTGGAGGTCAAATGAGTTGAGAACCTGCTTCAGGATGAGCGGTAGAGAGGTCTGTGTGGGCAGCTGTGAAAATGTTACTCAGACGAATACGTTTTTCATCTCAGACCTTCAGCTGACTTTTTGATGTCTTGCCAAATCCTGAGTGGCAAACATTTGTAACCATAACATGACTTGTGGATTTTCAAAAACGTCAGCAATCTTCCTGGCTGGACCATCGTCAGATAAGCATGAAACAGCCACCCAGGAAGGTAGTCCCTTCTGCCCTGATAATTTAAATGCAGTTCTGGAAGGTCTTAAAAGCCAAGTTGCCCGCATCCTTGAGGGTGGAGGAGAGACTTATGGTGCATTGTCTTTACCAGGTCCTGGGCTGGTACTTGAAACGCATGGTTTGTAACTTTCCCACATGGAGGCTCTGGCCAGCGATGGGGCAGTTGGGATCCAACTGTGGTCATGGGAACCCAAATATCCAGGCTGACCAATGAGGAAAAGGGAAATAGAGTGGTTGCCGTGGAAACAGACCAGGGGTTCTTTCCCTTGTATTGTCTCACATTAGCAAGTTGGGAGGCATCTGATGTGTGGCCCGCCTCCCGCTCGGGTCAAGGCTGCAATTTAATTAAACACTTTGGAGCTGGTTCTCCTGTTCCTCCAACAACACTACTCAAAACAGTGCGCTGGCTTCCCAAACACAGCCGTGAGTGCCGGGAAATGCTAGGGAACAAAAAGGCTTCTCCCCCACACTCTCTGTCTGCACCAGCCATGCATGGCTGCATGAATTTCACTTCCTCAGCCCTACCAGGCACATTTCCTGTGCGCACTCCCCACCTGCAGCTCCGCCCTGTGGCTCAGGCTCCAGGGAGAAGTTTCTATCATGTCAGGCCAGGCGGATATCAAAGCGTCCTACTTAACCTTCATGGTCGACAAATGAGGGAGGTGTAAAATCACCTCAATTTGGAAAAATCCCAACTATCCATCAGTGGTTGAATGGATGAACAGAACAGAATGTGGTCTATCCATACAATGGAATATTATTCAACCCTAAAAGGAATGAAGTACTGATCATGCTACAATGTGGATGGACCTTGAAAATATGCTGAGTGCAAGAAACCAGACACAAAAGACCATATAGTGTAGGATTCTGTCTGTGAGAAATGTCCGGAACAGGCAAATCCAGAGACAGAAGGCAGATTAGTGGTTTCTTAGGGCTGGAGGGAGCAGGGGTGAAGAGGGACTGCTTGTGGGGGAAGGGATTGTTTCTGGGGTGGTGCAGATGTTCTGGAATTAGAGGTGATGATTGCACAACATTATGAATACACTAAATGCTGCTGAAATTGTATGCTTTGAAGCAGTTAAGATGGTGAATTTTATGTTGGTTGTGTGACTTTTAGCTCAATAAATTTAAAAAAGGACAAAACTATCTCCCCATTTACAGATAAGGCCGCTGAGGCTGAGATGTTTGCGGATTAAGTCAGATTCCCCGGGGAGTAGGAGATGGAGCTGACATGGTCTCTTGTCCCCTGGACTTCTCCTTCCTGACTCCTCGTGGCCTGCCAGTCACCAAGCATGTCAGTTTGGCCTGTGAAGTGTCCCTGAGACCTTTCTTCTCTGTCCTTATTGCCTTGTCACTCACTGACCCCTGTGGTCAGGTCCCAGGCTGGGTGCCCATCACACTCCCACGGCTGGGAGGAGGCAGTGCCCCAAGGGAGAGGGGCTTGACAGATATGCCTGAGATGTCCCAGACCTCCCTCTGCTTCAGGCTGGCTTCATTACCTTGGGCACGTCACTTGACCTCTAAGCCCCATCTACCAAATGGTGCTTTGGATGTCAATGAAGGTGACAGTGATGTCCCCATGGCCCACCTCCCAGCACCTTTACGAAGATCCAATGAATAGTAAAACACAGACTGAAAGATGCTGTGATTATGATCTGTTTTCTTTAAGAAATAACTGTCATAGAGTCCCTTGGGCTGGATCTAGAGTTTGAATCAGAGTCCGTGGCCTGCCGGGACTGTGTCTCAGCTCCCCCAGGCCAGATGGTTCCCTGTCAGACGGGGTAGCTTGTGGTCCAGGGCACCCTCGTGGCTCAGAGACCCTTCTGGGGATGTGGATCTGGGGTGTTTTAACCGAGCACTGTGCCTTCCTTTTGCCGTTGGTGCAGATGATGTCCGATTATTTGCCTTTGTGCGGGTCACCACTGGGGACGCAATGAGCAAGAGGTCTAAGTTCGCCCTCATTACATGGATCGGCGAGAACGTCAGCGGGCTGCAGCGCGCCAAGACCGGCACGGACAAGACCCTGGTGAAAGAGGTCGTGCAGGTAAGTGTCCTTGTGTTCTTTTAGGGCTGGGGTAGGGGGTCATAACCTACAAAGAGTCACCGTTCAGCAGGGACACAGCAGGGCTGGGTTTGGCTCCTTGGTCTCTGACTTTGAACATGTGCTAAATCTCTGAACCACTAGCACCGCTGGTAACATGTACCGCAAATTGTTTTCAGGGTGTGAGCTAGGAAGTATGTTGCTGCATTTGCCATCCTGACCATTGAATACCAGAAGTGTGGTGGCTGGAGTCTACCTTTTTGGGTAGGGCAGGAGAGGGCGCTGGAGGGATGACCAAAATGATGCCCCTATCTGACTGGGTGATAGATGACTTCCAATGGTGGCCATGAAGACCCAATGGGAGAATTCATGAGTGCCCTCTGAATAGTGTCTAGCACGCAGTAGGTGTTCAATAACACTTGTCGAATGAATAAATGTCAACCATATGAACACCAGTAGGGTTTTGATGGCCACAGAATAACAGGCTATATCAACCATGGTGCAGGCTCCTAGCCTGGGTAGCTGGGCCCTGGCCTTGGCTGACTTATTCCTGTGTCTCTGTTAGACTGAAAGGAAGAGGAAAAGGTGGGTGTCCCTTTGTGTATGAACAGTTCTGCCTGTAGCAGTCTTTATTTTAAAGCCCCCCCCCATTCTGGACATAACAAAAATTGACACTATCACAAACTTCCAAAGCGATTTATTTGGGGCTAGGACATAGGGTCATGCTGAGAAAAAAAAAAAAAAACAAAACCCTGAATTCCAGAAAGATAAACTATGGAAGAGGGGTGAACAGGAGAGTTTTTTCCTTACCAAAGGGTTCTCCATATTGCAAAAGGATTTCCCCAAAGCCAGGATAGGGAGGTGGTAGTTAACATACATAGGGGTTCTCTTTGAGTTGATGAAGCGATTCTAAAATATTCTAAAATCTGTGGTGATGGTTGCACGTCTGTGAATATACAAAAAGCATTAAACTGTAAGAAATGAAAACAAAATGAACACACATGCAAATCGGCTCTATGCAACGTGGTATCCTGGCTTGGCTCCTGGAACACAAAAACTGATGAAATCGGAGTGAAGTCTCTCCTACTTCTGCATGGCTGTGGTCACACCCTGCAAATCATGCCCTAATCAGTTTCTTCCTTTTTTTTCTTTTCTAACATAATTTCATAATGTATGTGGCTGCAGAGTGTGGGAATGAATGCTCTTCTGGCGGCCGAGCGTCCAATTTCACAAGTGCACTGTGATTCCTGAAATTTCCCCTGGTGTTGGCTTCTTAAGTTGCTTCCAGTTTTTATTGTTATAAATAATGTTCTAACCAACATTTTAATACCCATAGCTCCTTTCTCTCATCTACTGGATTATTTCTGTAGAATATGTTTTCAGGAGGTGGGGTTCCAGAGTTAATAGGGGTAGCAATCGTTTTAAAAATGTAGAGATTGTCAGAGAACCTTCTAAGGGTTAGCACTGTGCCTGGGACATAATAGATGCTCAATAAATGTGTATTCCTCTGCCTAATCAGCATTACCAGTGAACACAGTGGTTGGCACCCTTCCTAGCACAGGCATCCTTACTTTGGATGGCCATCCACTTGACCCCATGGGCTGTTTTTCTCCAAGGCAGTTGGGGTTTTAATGGTTAACCGATTTTCAAGGGTCTCCTTTATGGTGGCAGTATGGAAAATGCAGAAGAATTGCATGTTCATGGCCAAAGGTCCCCCGCTGAACTCCACCAGCCACACTTAGCCCTCTTGTTGGCCAGCCTGGTGTGGCCAGGAACACAGAGAACACAGGGAGAGACTGTTTGCTGTGGCACGTCCAGTGGGGGCAGTCTTTTGAATCCCGCAGAGTGCCTTTTTCTTTCCATTTTGATGACTGTGGTGAAATACAGCAACATAAAATGTTAGCTGTTTAAAAGTGTATAGTTCAGTGGCGTAAAGTCAATTCACAGTGCAAGCATCACCACTGTCTGAAAGTTCCAGAACTTCTTCATCATCCTCAAGGCAACCCTGTCCCCATTAGCAGTCTGCAGTTCCTTTTAAATCTAGACCTCTTCTCAGTTTGGTTAAGTGGGTTAAGAGGGTGATTTGGAAAGGTAATTCTTTGATGGAAAGACTCCAGTTGTGAGCATTGGTTATAATTCATTTGTTTGCAAGCTTAAAATTGCAGCAAAGAGGGGAATTGCTTGGCTCTCTGACCTGGGAAGTGCAGGGATTGTCGAATCTAGGGCTGAAGCATTATCTTCTTTTCATCTCTCTTTTCTCTTCCCTCTGGGTTTGGCCTCAGATGGGCTCTGTGCAGCAGGAGAAATTGTCCAGGTATAGTGGTTCTTCTGGGTCTTGATCCCAGGGGAAGAGAGAGCCCTCCTCCCTCAATGTCAATCATCTCCTTAAAAGGACCCAATTGGCCCGGGTCACATGTACACTCTGTGGGGCAGGGAGGTGGAGGCCTCATGACTGGCAGCTCCAGATTGATTCCAGTTGTTAAAAGAAAGGGATGCTGGTAGAAGAAAATCACAGATGTCCTCTTTGGTGGAGAAACTAGGATGCTGTCTTGACCATGTCCACCTCTGCATTTAAAAATGTTTATTACCTGAAGCTATTACAAGACCTCATATTATCCTCCAGTTGCAGATACAGCCATAAATTTATGTTACAAAGGGTCAGTTTTGCTAGCATAATGGTATCTTTGGACAGTCACTAAAATCATGCTTGTCCTGGCATGTCAGTTGTTCTCTCTGCTTGGTAGAAACTCAGAACAGATGTCTCTAAGGGGTCTCCAGATGGACCACTCTGGATTCCATGTCTTGGGGACAGGATCACATCCCCAGCTGCCTTTTACCATGATTTCCATGTGAAGAATAAATGAATTGAGTTTTAGTTAAAGATTATTAATAAACCCTGTGGTTTTATCATAATAAAAATATTATACATATGTATAAATACATCCTTATGCTTCATATGAAACATGGAGAATATAAATTAATGTAGCGGCAGTTAAATCAAGAAGGGTGAGTGTTTTTTAGTGAAGTTCAGTTGATTTACAATGTTGTGTTTCTGGTGTATAGCATAGTGATTCAATTATACATATATATATTCTTTTTCATATTATTTTCCATTATAGGTTATTATAAGATATTGAATATAGTTCCCTGTGCTATACAGTAGGCTTTGTTGGTTATCTATTTTATATATAGTAATGTGTATCTGCTAATCCCAAACTTCTAATTTATCCTTCCCCCTCTTCCCCCTTTGGTAACCATAAGTTTATTTTCTATGTCTGAGTCTGCTCTGTAAATAAGTTCATTTGTATCATTTTTTAGATTCCACATATGAGTGGTATCATTTGATGTTTGTCTTTCTCTGAGAGAAGGGTCGGTCTTTACGCCACCTGCCTGCTTGTGGGCAGATCTCTCTCCCTTCCTGGGCCTCAGTTTCCCCATTTAGAAAATGAGTTGGATGAGTTGATTTGCTGTGTGATATTCTGTTTTGATATATTCTGAAATTTTTTCTTTTTTAAAATGAGGTCCTTTGTTTATGACAGCCCATTAACCTTATTTTTTAATTAAAAAGTTTTTTTTCGTGCTACCTTTAAAGGAAGCTTATTTTACTTCATCAGACAAAGAGACGGTGTGTAGTGCAGTGGTCCGGGGAGGGGGAAGCCTTTTGAGCCAGATGGTGTGAGTTCAGATTTCAGCCCCACCGTTGACTGTGTGACCTTGGGCAAGTTGCTCTCTCTGGGGCTCAGTCTAAAGCAGGGCTAAGCATAGGATCTACCTCTTGGGGTATTGTGGGGGGTTTAAGTGAGCAACTCTAAGGCAAGGGCTCAGAACTGTGTCTGTGAAATACCCAGAAGTAGCTGTCTTTGCTCCCAGCTTTCCTGCTTAGACACCACCAGGATGCACAGCTTTCTGCGCTGTGCCGTGTTTCCCTGGGAGCTGGTTGGTCCACATGCTGAGCGCTGGCACTGGCCTGAATCTTGTGATTGAACCACCCTGCCTAATTGTCTTGCAAATGGCTTGGACCAGAGTCACATCCATCAGCAGCCCTGGAAGGTCCTGGCCTCACCTCCTCTGGCCCCTGCTGACTTCAAACAATCCAAGCCTCCCCTGTGACCTGCTGGCTGCATAGGTGCATCAGCCTGTGAGGAAACTGGGGTCCAGAGCCATGACAGGACTTGCCTCAGACCCACAGCTAGAAAGCAGCAAGTCCGGGCCTGGAGCCCAAGGAGTTAAAGTCAGCAGGTTTGACTCTGGGTCTCTTTAGTCTGAATTCAGAGCCAGGCTGAGCAACTGAGCTGCATCTGTGGCTGTGGAAAAACAGAACAAGAACAGCAAGGCACAGGCAGCAGAGGGTTGGACCGAGGCAGGCTGGGCGTTGATGACACCCGGACTTGAGCCCCAGGAATGTGCCGCGTGGACAGGGTGCAGGGAAGTGCCCGGCTGGTGCCGGCGACACAGTCCCATTGTCCTGGCGCCTCGGCAGGATTACAGGGACAATGCAGTTCCCCTCTGTTAGAGACCTGCCCGCGCCGGGCCGGGCTGTCTCGATTTAGAGCAGACTCGGTTGATGAAGCATCGTGCTGGCCTTGCAGAATCGCTTTTTTCACATAATCTTTTCATCTATTTTTTTTAATGGAGGTACTGGGGGTTGAACTCAGGACCTTATGCACGCTAAGTATGCCCTCTGCCACTGAGCTCTACCCACCCTCCAATCTATTTTTTATTTTTTAATATCATATGAATGCTCAGGGAGCCAGGTAACAGAGGTACATCTCAGCTTTCAGCGCTGGGAAAAAGAACAGCAGGGAACGTTTGCTCCAAGGTAATGAGGTGGGGATGAAGGGCTGTCAGTAACCACGTAGAACCATAACTGTAGTCTGTATTCCGATGGCTTTGGACCCCCCAGGAGCAGAGGCGGCTTACATTCTGGACCCCCTACCACCCCGAGGGCTGGGACCAGATGTCCTGTCTTCTAGAAGGATCATGTTCGTGTATCAGTGTGGTAA